CTCCAAGGACAGAAATCATTAACAAAGTGGATACTGTAATAATGCCCATTGCATAAATCGGTCTAAAGTAGGGAAAACAAAGAGCTTATTGAACTGTGCCAAAGAATATAAACGCTTTACACGAACATAAGTAAATAATGATAATAATAAGAAAATGGTCCTGATTTACATGGCAATCATGGCATCCACAATCCACTACAATACACGTTACTGGTATTTTTTCTTTAATCATACCAAAAGTATCAACGTTTACACTGATCACAATAAATCTAATCGAAACTAAATAATATACCAGATGCCAATTTGAAATTATTTGACAGATCGTTGGTTTGCGTTTGCTGATTTCGACTTGTCTAAGAATTACGAGTTGTAACTCAGAATTCCGAGTTGCAACTGAGAATTCCGACTTGTAACTCGAAATTCCGAGTTGTAACACGGAATTCCGACCTGTAACACAGAATTCTCAGTAACAAGCCGAAATTCCGAGTTACAACTCGGAATTGAAATGAACATAAGTTGATGGCCTCTCTACGCCTTCGTAGAATTCACCCAATTTTCTTTTTTACTTATGACTGACTTTCTGACTTATGAACTCAAAGACAACTGACAGGCACAGGCACAGATTTCTCAGAACAAAGAAAAATCTAACAGTTGACACATAATGTGATGCGCGAGGACTGCGAGAGGTGAATGTTATGATGACCAATCAGACCAATGGTTATGCCTGGTATGCAGTACGTCACCTTACGTGTTCCATCTACTGTTCATCGGTGAACTCTAATATTTGACCGATTGCAAGCTATCGTATTTTGTACCAAATTGGAACCCTAATTTGGAATGTAGTACCAAATGTACTTTTACATGTGAAATGTACCAAATCTGGTACAATTGTACCACTTGTGGCAACCCTGCTCACAAACTCACAAGCAAACAATGAACTGAATGTAGTTGTATTGAGTTCATTGCAAGCAACAGACAAAACAATAAGATGGCGGAGAGATGAAGAAAGAGAGGAAAGAGACGATCGCGCTTGCGCATGCTTCGGAATTATATCACGTGATCCATATAGGGCATAATATTTTTAATGGAAACTTGGGGACTTGGGAAAATTGGAAAAAATGATTTTACGATAAACGATCACTAGTAAAATTACATAATGAGAGTTTAACACCAACTCTCATATTGAGGTGGTGGTAAATTCATTTTTCAGAAGTTCAGAAGTTACGATAAGCTCGTTTTTGAAAACTTTCAAAGGATAATCTTACAGGGAGTTTTCGAATGGAAGCTGCAAAATATTTAATTCACAGTAAATTCCTATTTAACTCGCGAAGGAAGATTTCAATTGTGAAATACTATCATACTTTCTGCAAATTGTTGTGAATTACAATGTTTAGTGGGTAGGTCCAGGCCCACCATGTAGCCTTCCAGCATAAAACTATTCATTCTCAAGTAATTTATCGTTTTAAAACATATAGTTTTTTCTGTATTGGGTCCTAAAATATATAAGATAAACATATTTTTTCGAACAGAATGCTGTCCTGCAGTTCCTTCAGAACAAGCCTACCGAATTCCCTTCTAAGACCTCCAAAATCTGTCGCACCATCAGAGACGCCAAATTCATCAGTGAACATTATGGAAGGAATCTTCTGAGGATTAAAATGATTTCTAGTTCTGACAGCACCAACAAATGTTTCTGATCCTGTGATATTGAATGCAGTAAAAGATTCTTCTAAAATATTGCTAAAATATAAAATATCAGAGGTGTAAATGATTCTTTCAAACTGTTCTGAATAGCAATATCCAAGTCATCATCTGTTTCAAAACCTGAATTGTCATTTCCTTGTTCTATAGTCACTTGAGGTAGTACATCTGGTTCTTCAACATTTTCTATTAATGGCGCTTCACACTGCTATGCATTAGGTTTATCTGTTTTTGAAGCAGTCATTTTTCTCGTACCCTCACCGTTTACTGCACGAACCTTCTGGAAAAGATCGTTTTCATAGTGGATCCAACCCATTTCAATTTTTCGAGTTTGTTTCACTGATGTATTCGCATCTTTTCTTACTTTTTCATTTGCTTCAATTTCACTATCGAGATATTTTTTTCTATTAAATTCAAGTTGCATCATATAGCTACAAAAGTTCTCCCATACCCCATATATAGGGCGTATACGTGTAGACAATTCAGGGACGTGTTGCTGATGTCAAAACAAGAAGGAAAGTTCCTATGAATGTATGTCCGTACGTTCGTTGTTTTCAAGATACAAGACGATAGAATTGAAAGTATAAATTTGCTGATATTCCATGAAAGCGCGATAATAAGTGGGTGATTATGACGAATAGACTACCTTTGTATTAGTATGACCGTTTTCTTATAACAAGCCTATCGCCCTGTATCTCCAAAACTACCAACTCACAGACATACGTTTATAGGAAGTTTCCTCCTTTCTTTGACGTCAGCAGCACGCCCCCAAATTTTCTACACGTACTGAAGAAACATCTTTTATAGTAAAAACAGAAAATGAACATTTGGCAGTTAGAAGATGACTCGAAAGGATATTATTTGTAGTGAATGACAACCGTGTAAAGAGAGTAACATTACCTGATCTCATTACATAGATTTAGACTCTGTAAGTGATGCCAACTACACATATCTTCAATATAAAGGGTGATCCATTTTCAAGAATAGTACCGAAAACTAATACAAAAAGCAACTTTGTTATACTCAATGAAAATGGATCACCATGTATATTGAAATATTTCTGATTAGTACCTCAAGTCACTTGAGCACATTTCTAGTACCTAATGATTTTGATAATCGACGCTCTGTAGTTCCTTAGTAAAAAAAAATTGAATTCAATGTTTCATTGAAACAAAATCAACAAAATCCTGGAAGTTTAAATTCCAATAATGGGAAGTATAGATATGTATACATCAGGATGCCCGTGATATCAATTCAAATCCAAATACCATACCTCTTTGAATTCCGAATAAGTAGGCTTTTATTTGTGAACTAAATCCTTATGCTGGTATAGAATCTGCACCAGTGGTGAATGATAAAACATTTTCCAAGTTCACATTCACCTCATTTTCTGAAAAAAAAAATCAATTACGAAGTCACGAAAATATCCCACAGTTTTATTTTCAATTCGACATTTGTTAGACATAGCCTCACTGAATTCAAAACATATCAAGTCATCGAATGCTTTGCTCGTTGGTTTCGTTTCTGTGTAATGGTCATTACACAAGTGTTAGCCATAGGAAAGATTGACTTGTCATGAAAGAACTTCACTTTCATTTGTGAACAAAATCCTAATGCTGATATAGAATCTGCACTAGTGATGAATGATAAAAAATTTTTCAAGTTCACATTCACTTCATTATATACCAAACAGAAATATGCATCACACTGTACAGGGTAATTGGCTATGGATTGTACGAAAATTAATCAAAAACTGATGAAGCTATTGAAAGTTTCCAGACGGATTCTCAAATGAGATATTGTCCTCCTCAAAACACGGAACACATTTCATTGCATATTCCGAAAGTTGTTATTTCTGATTTCAAAAATATAGTCTTCATACTATTCTATAGAAGAATAATGGGCAATCGAATGAATTGAACTCGAAATTGATCAAAATTCTGGTCGTAAAATCAACTTATTGAATCCTAACCTAACCTGACCAAACTGACAAAGGAAATTATTGAAAATTAAATGCCAGTATGCTCATAACAAAAACTTGGATTGAATTTAACAATTTATAATCAAAATTTGAATGAATTTCAAATTTAATTATATCCTGTCACACAACAATTTCCTTTGAAATATATGAAAATTCAATAATTCTGGAATCATGAAAAAAACTGTTCAAAATATATGCAATAAAAAATAAGGTGTACACTATTTTATCCCCAGTGTTTCATTAACTCTCTCCAAGTACTTTGGTGCAGAATTTGAACCACGAATTTCCGAGTTAGAGGAATGCTGGGACAAAATATATCCGGCTCTGAAATGGGCTTATGATTTGTGATACGATGGTTTATTTTCTCTCCCGCCCCATATAACTCACTCATATTGGTCTTTGGAATTATATATTCTAAGCTGAAGCGAATTGAACAATTCATTATTAGCGAATAGAATAGAATTAAACAATACATTATTAGTAAATAGAATAAACTCGAAACTTCTTCTTCTTCTCCTCTCAGATTGCGGCTGCAAATTTCATGCTTATCATGTGATCAAGTTTCACTTCTGTGGGTCTTCTTCTATTTATTCACCATTGCTGTATTATGTTGTATACTTTGAAATTTTAGTGAATAAATATTATTATTATTATTATTATTATTATCACATTTTTGGTTGCATAAAATACTTCAATGATATTCCCCTTAACGGGGCACTAAAATCATCAGCAGGAAGGCAGGAGTACAACAATCATCCTGTAACACGCATCCCAGATTGTTCTCCAACCTCCCAATGATTCCTACATGCACCAGCATATTTCCGAACACTCAATATATGCCGCTGTTATGGGCGAGAAGTTGCAATGGACTGTATCAATACTCGATAGGTACACGAATAAGGATATTTTCAAACTCGACAGAAACAAGATCTTTTGCAAATTCGCTCACCTGTATAGGTATGATTAATGGACACCGCGTGGTTTCCTCCTTGTAGGCTTCAGGCGGCCGCCGAGCTTGCTTCTTGCTTTTCAGGATATTATCAGCACATCACTTTACACGTAAGTTTATGTTCCTTTGAGAGTTTATCGTGCGGTTATTTGTATTCAATCAAACACTTATATATTACAGCGAGTTTTTTGATTTTCTCTCTAAAATCGCCGGGTTCACGCGTCTCTCCTCTTCTCTCTTGTCACGTGACGTCTCGGCCCCTCCACCTTGACCCTTGGTCATCTCCTACAGGTGTGTTTGGCGATAGCGAGAAGTACCTTGTTTCTGATAAAACGCGCGAATTTCTATTTCAAATTTGAAAACGAATATTTATGCAAAGATAGGCACCAACAAATCATCTGTTTCAGAACCTGAATTGTCATTTCCTTGTTCTATAGTCACTTGAGGTAGTACATTCGGTTCTTCTACATTTTCTATTGATGGCGCTTCACACTGCAATGCATTAGGCTTGTCTGTTTTTGAAGCAGTCATTTTTTTCGTACCCCCACCATTTACTGCACGAACCTGCTGGAAACGATCGTTTTCATAGTGGATCCAACCCATTTCAATTTTTCGAGTTTTACTGATGTATTCGCATCTTTTCTTACATTTTCATTTGCTTCAATTTCACTATCAAGATAATTTTTTCTATTAAATTCAAGTTGCATGCAATTTTGTCAGTTACTTGAATAAGTTTTAATAGCTATTCTGTCACCATAGCTAGGGATAAGCAATTTGAAATATTCATCATTGATGTCATCAAGTTCCATCAATACATAACCAATTGTCCATATAGCAACAACAGTTCCCCCCCACCCCATATACAGGGCGTTTCTCAAGTACGTGTAGACAATAAAGGGACGTGTTGCTGATTTCAAAACAAGAAGGACAGTTCCTATGAATGTATGTCCGTACGTTCGTTGTTTTCAATATACAAGACGATAAAATTGAAAGTATAAATTTCCTGATATTTCATGAAAGCGCGATAAAAAGTGGGTGATTATGTCGAATAGACTGCCTTTGTATTAGTTTGACCGTTTTCTTATAACAAGCCTATCGCCCTGTATCTCCAAAACTACCAACTCGCAGACATAGGTTTATAGGAAGTTTCCTTCTTTCTTTGACGTCAGCAACACACCCCCAAATTTTCTACACGTACTGAAGAAACACCTTTTATAGTAAAAACAGAAAATGAACATTTGGCAGTTAGAAGATGACTCGAAAGGATATTATTTGTAGTGAATGACAACCTGATCTCATTACATAGATTAAGTCTTTGTAAGTGATGCCAACTACAAATATCTTCAATATAAGGGGTGATCCATTTTCAAGAAGAGTACCCAAAACTAATAAAAATGCAACTTTGTTACACTCAATGAAAATGGATCACCATGATAATTGAAATATTTCTGATTAGTACCTCAAGTCACTTGAGCACATTTCTAGTAATGATTGTGATAATCGACGCTCTGTAGTTCCTTAGTAAAAAAATTGGATACAATGTTTCATTGAAACAAAATCAACAAAATCCTGGAAGTTTAAATTCCAATAATGAGAAGTATAGATATGTATACATCAGAATGCCCGTGATATCGATTCAAATCCAAATACCATACCTCTTTGAATTCCGAATAGGTAGGCAATTGAATGATCATCACACAAGTGTTAGCCATAGGAAAGATTGACTTATCATGAAAGAACTCCACTCTTATTTGTGAACTAGATCCAAATGCTGGTAAAGAATCTGCACCAATGATGAATGATAAATCATTTTCCAAGTTCACATTCACCTCATTTTCTGAAAAAAAATCAATTACGAAGTCACGAAAATATCCCACAGTTTCATTTTCAATTCGACATTTGTTAGACATAGCCTTGTAAGGATCTTTTATTCTGCGGCCCTTACTTTGACACTCTGTTCAGGACAGGAGACTACTCTGGTATTTGACAGGGGGGATTCTCGAGCGCCAGATTTTTGATAAAGGTGATTTACTTCACCTGCTCCTCCCAACTTAGTCGGGAAGGAGGCCCACAGTAGCAACAGTGGAGAAAGGCACAGGAGGTATACCTACCTCGGTACCCACAGTATAATCCAGGGGTCAATGGTATTGAATCGACCTGGAATCAATAAGTAGCCAAGGGAGTGTAGGCTTTAATTACAAACCCTGGGTCTAGCCTGGAATACTGGTTGCTATTTCTGGTCTGGATAATTACAGGAATCAAAGCAAAATATCTTTCAGGTCTTTGGTATTTGAAGGTTAGGTCTGGAAGATTATTTACTCAACTATTTCATCATTTCTACCTGGAGAATCGGAAACACAGTTCTAAACAGATTCAATTTCTATTTATCTTTCCTTTTCCTTCGATTTTTCTGATTTTCTAATATCGGATTTTTAGTGAGGTTAATTAATTATATTTTTCCATTAATGTCAATAGTTCATGAAACATAAAACACCGCCTGACGGGATACACAGCACCGAGACACCGGTGCACAGGACTGAACTTCTCAAGGAAAAGAAGAAGAAGCGTTGTTAACTGGCTTGTCAGTGTCAGTCGTCAGTCAATAATAATATACTGCAATTTTGACAAATGAAAATATTGAAAATCACTAAATAAATTATTGAACTATTTGGAACTGAAAACAATGACAACAGAGAAGGAAATATGAAATATGCAATCACAAAATCCGTTTATTCAATCTAGAGTTCTGGATTCTTTACACAGGTCGGGTGAGTATCGGTGTGAAAAACAACAGGAATGAATTAAATGAGGCTATAAACAGGATGAATAACACTGGCTGGTGAAAAATATACAAACTTACATGTGTAACAGGAAATCACTATACAATACTATTTTACACTGGTTTTGAATGAACTATGAGAGCACTAAAAAATCAGCTTGAGAATCAGGAGCTGGAAGAGCAACGGAGATCAGGTAGTGTAGACTTGTCAAGAAAAGCTTAGAGAGTCTCGAATCCTTGGCTGTCTTCAGTATTTATGCACTGCTTTGGCCTTGGCACAAGGACACGTAAATCTGGAATCTCATTGGTCAAAACTCCCACCTTGTCATGGCTCATGGCCATGGCCACTAAATCTGTCCTTGAAAAGCACATGCGCACCTCCAACACAAAACGCGGAAAAAATAATATTACACCCTAAATGGGCACAGGAACAGGATCTACTACCTTTGCTTATGCTACTGAATGAATTTGGCTGGAAAATATTCAATAACAACAAAGTTATGAGCATTTAAACATTCATCATTTCAACTGATAAATAATTCAATCAAATTTCATATCATAAGCAAAGGGTTGAAAAGTCTTTAGGGTTGTAATGATGTTCATCAGCTTTTACTATCAGGAAAAGCTGTGGGAAGTCAGGAATCAATGCATTACTCAGCTCTCGCAGGTTTTCAGGTTTCGAGCTTTCGAACAGGTGAAATTCAACTAGAATCAGGCTCAGGTACTTAGATTTTGATCAAAACTAGTCTAGTAATGAAGCTGGTCAAAAACACTTCATTACAGCCTCACTGAATTGAATGAAAATGGATCACCATGTATATCGAAAGATTTTTGATTAGTACCCCAAGTCACTTGAGCACATTTCTAGTAATGATTTTGATAATCGACGCTCTGTAGTTCCTTAGTAAAGAAAAATAAATACAATGTTTCATTGAAACAAGATCAACAAAATCATGGAAGTTCAAATTCCAAGAATAAGAAGTATAGCTATGTATACATCAGGATGCCCGTGATATCAATTCAAATCCGAATACCATACCTTCTTGCATGGCATATACCAATTTCTCTTTGAATTCCGAATAAGTAATGAAACATGTTGGCATTTGAATGGTCATCAGACAAGTGTTAGCCAAGATTGACTTTCATTTGTGAACTAAATCCTAATGCTGGTATAGAATCTGCACCAGTGATGAATGATAAAACATTTTCCAAGTTCACATTCACTTCATTTCCTAAAAAAATCAATTAGGAAGTCACGAAAATATCCCACAGTTTTTTTTTCAATTCCGCGTTTGTTAGACCCAGGCTCACTAAAATCAAAACATATCAAGTCATTGAATGCTTTGCTCGTTAGTTTCGTTTCTGTGTAACATAAAGCTTCTTATTTGTGAACTACATCCTAATGCTGGTATAGAATCTGCACTAGTGATGAATGATGAAACATTTTCCCAAGTTCACATTCACTTCATTATATATTAAACAGAAATATGCATCACACTGTACAAGGTAATTGGCTTTGGATTGTAAGATTTAAACACTCCTTATCTCAAGAATTAATCAAAAACTGATGAAGCTATTGAAAGTTTCCAGACGGATTCTCAAATGGGATATTGTCCTCCACAAAACACGGAACACATTTTATTGCATATTCTGAGAGTTGTTATTTCTGATTTCAAAAATATAGTCTTCATACTATTCTATAGAAGAATAATGGGTAATCGAATAAATTGAACTTGAAATTGATTAAAACTTTGGTCATAAAATCAACTAATTGAATCCTAACCTAACCTGACCAAACTGAAAAAGAAAATTATTGAAAATTAAATGCCAGTATGCTCATAGCAAACATTGTATAATCAAAATTTGAATGAATTTCAAATTTCATCATGTCCTGTCACCCTACAATTTCCTTTAAAACATAGGAAAATTTAATAATTTTGGAATCAGAACAAAAAACTATTCAGAATATATGCAATAAAAAATAAGGTGTCCACTTTTTTATCCCCAGTGTTTCATTAACTCTTTTCAAGTACTCACTACGAATTTCCGAGTTAGAGGTATGCTGGGACAAAATATATCCGGCTCTGCAATGGGCTTATGATTTGTGGTACGATGGTTTTTTTCTCTCCCGCCCCATATAACTTACTCATATTGGTCTTTGGAATTATATGTTCTTAGCTGAAGCGAATTGAACAATACATTATTAGTAAATAGAATAGAATTAAACAATACATCATTAGTAAATAGAATAAACTCGAAACTTGTTCCGTACGTAGTTTTTCCCCTCTCGGATTGCGGCTGCAAATTTCATACTTATCATGTGATTAATTTTTTTTTGCATAAAATACTATTTAGGCAACATATAGGTAAACTACTTGATATATTTTTCCAACTGTTTGAGATTTGTCCCACCATACAACATGACCAAGACATTTTTCAATGATAATGATGAGAAAAATGATGTGGAATTCAACTTTAACAACATTATACTGTCGAATATAAATATCGAGACACCAGTACTCATATATAGATACATGGGACCCAGAAGATTTGATACCCCTATCACGGAGTTGAAACCAGTGATAGAGAAAAAATGGTGTGGAATGGATGAGATCGTTCAGCCGAAAGATTTCAATAGAACCTCTGGAGTTAATCAAGATGGATAATATCCTTCGTCAGTTTATCACGGACAAATTATTGAATCACATAGTTTTCTAAATCAATCTATATACTGAGCAGAAATATCAGACGACTGGGAAGACATATAAAGGAACAGATATTCATT